ATATATATATATATATATATATATATATATATATATATATATATATATATATATATATATATATATATATATATATATATATATATATATATATATATATATATATATATATATATATATATATATATATATATATATATATATATATATATATATATATGTGTGTGTGTGTGTGTGTGTATATATATATTCTTATTAGTACTACAAGATATGTAAGATACTTCTGTATTGTTCCATTAGACTCTGGTCTCTATAATTCGTATATTCGCGTGACAATGACACTACAACTTTGTTATCTTAGAAGTCTATCTAGTTTTTAATGCATCTTAATCTGCCATTATAAACAAAAAAACCTGTTATTGACCGATAGACGCGATTAGATGCACACCTCAATGCAGCATCCTTGAATAACGAGTAAAATTTCAACCGAGGAAAAGGATCTCCTGCTTCCGCGACATCTGCTGCAAACGACAGGCTGGCCCGTATTTGCTCTCCATCGTTCGCGTTGAGTCGCATATATTCTTTCCTTTTCCTCTTTCCGACATGGTTTTGACTATTGTTAGAGCCGAACCGGCCCATGTCACTTTCAGCTGGAAGTTTTGTGAGCGTTGACACTTCTAATTCTATCTCGGCACACTCGACGTTCGCATTAGTGAAGCTCGCACTTCGCTGCATCGTGGGAAAAAAACCCGTCTCCTACCTATCATTGAAGTCTAGCAATTGTCAAACACCGGAATTTGCTTGTCAATATTGTTAAATGATGTAATTAAGTGTCTGTGTAGTATTTATGGAAAGGAGATATCTACTGCTGGCTTCAATATCGGAACTCGCTAGAGTACTAGTATTTAATCAAAAATATGTATCGCTATACATGAATAATATAGTTCTCGCTATGAATTTACAATATTCCAGTGCAGACTGTAGTCACTGTAAATACCTCAGTGCAGTGTATTTAGTTAGATATTTTTTTAAGTTACACACTCATAAAAATCATAGCTAAAAATACTTCGTCTGAAAAACACACATAAAAAATTTAGGCCAGGCGGCAGACGTCCAGTCCCCAGGGCACCAGGACCCAAGCCCCCAGGCCCCCAGGCCCAAGCCCAGGCCAACCAACTATTTCTATTTTTATATAAATAAGTGTATTATTATTGTAAAAACAATTTATGCATAATCATAGCCTTCTAAATAAATTAAACAGCATAATGTTATGTGCATGACGTCAGACAGGTTTTAAACCCATGGTTTTTCGGAGGAGCAATAAACCGAATGGCAGCTGTCAAAAAGGGATGACGAATATGTCGGAAAGGCGTTGTCAACCATGACAGCCACTGAGTGATTTCAGTACTCCAGGAGTAGCTGGTTCACAAATGAGAGTCGTTTATTGGTGAGAAATGAACTAGTATATCTACTGGTGGAGACCGTTGTAGAGGATGCAGTAAATACTATTAGCCAAGGAATTATATGGGTTTTGATTGAGTATAGTTCCCTTTGAAGAAGAAGCAAGACAACAATTCCGAGGATTGGGAAAAGGTAGAAAGTGTATAAATATGATTGAAAGTAGATGTAAGAAAGCATATGTTCTAAGGTTAACATCTTGTTTACTAAACAAATTATAAAAAAGGTTTTTCAGTTTGAGTAATAGAGCTTACTCCAAACTTTTCCTTGACTTTGTAGCAAATTTATCCTGAGCACTGAACAAGTAAACCCAAACTTTTTATAAAGGATACAATCTTTTCTATAACATGACGGGAGAGAAAGTGTTTGTGAACACTACTCATGAGAGCGTGTACAAGTGGTCCCAAACTTTGCATGCACTAACTGGACAGCGAGATCATGTTACATCAGGACTCTTGCCGGCTGGTGAGTGCGCGAAGAAAAGGGATATCATTTTGCATGAATTTCTCTCTCCTGAAGTGAGTCGAGCGGTCCATAGCATGTTACCTGAAGATGTGAGATCTCCGGTGTGGTCTATGGCTGCTCTGGCAAGTTATGCTAAGTCTCTACAACCTCTGCTGAATATCTTGGACAGCACGATCAAGTCACTCAGTGAAGAGTTGAAGTTGGATCGAGAATTACGGTTGCAATATTTTGAAGAATATGGTAATCTTGCCTATGAAGCATTGCTAGCAAAATAATGGCATAAGCTTGTATCGGTACTAACCAGCAAGCTGGGAAGCAAGAATTGGTCTGGAAGGGTCAATACGAAGAAGACGAGTGTAACAACAGTAAATCAAGTGGCAGCGACGCTTAAAGTAATATAAGTCTACGAGAATGAGGAGCGAGTGGTAGGATTGGTAACTCAGCCTACCGCAGAAGAGGTGACGGGAAATCAGTTAGGGGACAAACTAAAATTGTCAGTAGGTGACGTACATGCACGATTGTGTACCGTAGCAGTACTCTTGGCTCAAGGTCATCAGAAGGAACATGACAAATATCAAGACATACTGGCAACTTTTCAAAGACATGTAGATACGCATGAAGGTTCAGTCTATACCCTGCTTACCCAGTGTGGACCGTCTGAATTCGTGAAAGCGGGTATGTCTTGTATGTTGAGTGAAGAAGACCGGGGCTCACTGTGGAATGAGCAGTTGATTACGACTGCCACTCAGCCGGAAGCCAGGATCCATATGTTGGTTATAGATAGCACTCCTAAAAACGACCGTGAAATCTTTCGGGTGGTCTATCATATGGGAGGGATAGCCAAGGCTGCGGAAGTATTGAGAGGTATGATAGCAAGCAAGCACAAGGCGGTTTCTCGGCCAGTAGTAGTAGTAAGAGCATTACAACCTTCAGTAGCAGTAGGAGGCAGAAGTGCACCTCCACCAAAACAGCAGGCTACACCAAATGCTGGATTTACTGGCTGCCATGAATGTGGTTCCATGGAGCATAAAAAGTATCAATGCTCGATGTGGAAAGAGAAACGTGTAGCCCGCCGGAAGACCGCAAGAGAGAATGGGGCGCGTAGAGGTGGACAGCCAATCAGACGTATGTCACCCGCTGGTTCATGACAGCCAAACTTTCCTCCATTCAAAAATATGGGACTAGTAGGTGCAGTGTGGACATATGCACCGAACCCAGTGGCAAATGGGCTAGTATCAACACCAGGTACAACGATGGCAGGTCCAGATCCGGTAGCAGCGCATGCACCGATAACGGGGCCGCATTCAGCAGCAGACACTGGACAATCTGCAACGATGACTCAACCATTCGGACACATGGTAATGAATCATACTGCAGGTAATCAAGTGGTAGGGGCTCTTCATCAGCCCGTGTGGGACCATCAACAGAAAGGGAGCAACACAAGAGCATCGGGTCACTGAAGAGGGGCGGTGGATGAGGAAGTAATCAATGGCATGGAAATAAAAGCGTACATGGACACAGGTGCTGACCACTTTGATTTTTCTACCATGTACTAAACTTCTGCAACTATCAACAACAACATATAGAGGAGGCCCATTTTCGGGCATATGCACTCTAGAAACTCTCGCACCTACATTACAAACTAGTGTAAATATACAACTGAATACGTGGTGCAACAATGCGAATGCTAAGATAGAGGAATGTTTGGTTGTACCATTCTTGCCGTATGACTGTGCCATTCTTGTAGGGATAGATACGCTACGCACACCACAATAGCATTTAATGTGGAAGGGACAAGACCTCATAGTAGGGATAATATTATTTATTTCAAAAATGGCAAGTATGTATGATACAATGTATGAACATATGGTATGGCTCTCATAGTCGCTGTAGTGGTTCAGGAAAGATTGATGGGAAGAAGTGGTCAGTAAATTCCCGTTTGAAGCTTGGGCCAAGTGAGTCGACAATGTAAGATATGTGCTGAGTCAATTCGGGCCGGTGTTGACAAAACACTGTTTCTATCGAATGTTCCATATATTCGCTTGCTGACCTACTAAGTAGAGTACCCACCTCTGTGGTACGGATCGGGTCTGCACCGTGTAGTGCCGCGGAATGGGTTAGTGCAGAGTACGAAATACCAAGAAGGACCAGGTTATCCGTCATAATCCGGTGCCTTCTACGGAACTTGCACAGGTGCTTATGGATGCAACAACAACCATATCACAGGTGGATGCGATTGGAGCCACGGTAATACCAGAAGTTCCAATGATAAAACCATATCAGCCCGTATTTGACACACTTATGAAGGAACGTACCATGGATGCTGATCCTACACACCTCCTAAGACTTCCTGACCATATGGCGTGGACAGAGATGCAGCATCAAACAAAGGAGGACTTGGGGGCCTTACCTGGGAAAGAACAAAGGGAATACGGTGGAATATATCAGTTAGCTGCTACGATTGGGGCGCCTCTTGCATTAGCCGACGCCCTCATTGCAGACATACAAAAAGTCGCATATGATTCTACTAACGTGAAGTTTCTAAATGTACCACCCTTAGTGATCAGAGAAAAGACAGGAGCAGTTTCTAGGTCGACCTTTTATGTGGACAACAAGCCTGAAAAGCAAGCCATCTTAAAAGTTACAATCGACGCGTGGGAGGCCGCAGGGATCATAGCACCCGTATCACAACAAGCTGCGGGAGGGTGATGCTCCACTCAGTCTTCAAGAAGCCAAGTGTTGTGCCAGTGGATGCCAACGGTTGGCGCACGTGTATCAATCTCAAGATTGTGAATAAGGAATTAGAAGCCACTCCTTTTTACACCGACTGAGAAAGAATATTTGTCACACGTTCAGGGTAAGAATTGGATTACAGTCGCTGATATGGGGCAGATTTTCTGCCAGCTCATGGTAGATGAGCAATCTCGCAAATACCTCACGTTCAATACGCCGTGGGGACTATACACATTCGTCGGGATGCCCTTTGGACTCAAAGAGGCATCCTGGAGGATGCAACAGGCTCTAGGGATTATCTTTGGGTTCATCTCTTGTATCCACTGGTACATTGATGACATCTATTTGGACACAACGAACCGTCTGAACAATGGAATATATTCCACATGTGTATTGCTCGCTGTATCGAAATGAATGTGCAGCTTCGCATTAGCAAGTGTTCATTCGCAGCGTATAGGACATTCGTGGTACTGTTAGGAAGGGCGGTCGGCTTTCGGGGCAGCAGCATTACCGATGACCGACTTCGGGACCTCCTTAATTTGTCTCCTTCCACATCTCAAGACCTCACGCGCTCATATTACCACACTGTGGTGTGGTGGAGTGACGTCTTCCAAACTTTGCCAGGGTAATGGCATGCATCGCGGATCTCTTGAAGAAAGATGTACCGTTCCTGTGGACACCACGCCACCAGCTGGCATTTGAAGAGTGTGCTTACCTTCTACGGCATTGCGCCACTCTTGTATAACCCACGATGGAAGAACAACTTAGCATATTTTCGGATGCGTGTGATTCCGTAGGACTTGGTGGGGTTTGTGTGGTCACTCGGCATGGGCGCATGTAACCCGTGACTTTTGCTGGCTCCAAGTACGATGCTACACAAAAGGCATATCACATCCTTGACAAAGAGTTATTAGGGGCAGTATTTACTGCTCAAAAGAACATGGCAGTCATCCGACGCTCGGTACCTCCAGTACGCTTGTAAACAGATCACCAACCATTGGTCTCAATCTGTGCTCGTCAGCCACATGATTTTCCTGACACTGTCAGATATCGAAGACAACAGCGATGTCATGGCGTGTTACGCGATTTTGATAATGAGGTATTTTATGTTCGCGGTGAGGACAACCCAGTCGCGGATGTTATGTCTCGCCTTTGTCAAGGCATTTCTCCCATTATGAAGGTCGGCAGAGGACTGACGGAGCTGTCCGTCCCATTCTCGGACCCTCTTGTGTGCAAACTTATCTCCTCGAAACAACAGCTGTCCAGTAAATGGGTTGCGCGTCTGGAACAGAAATACTGGCCACATAATCTCGATGCCTTTGCCTTACCAGGCAACCAGCAGCTACCTGCATATGTAATAGTCGGGCCTCCACATTAGACTCTATTTTATAAATGTACTCTTAAGCAGTACGTAAAATATAAACGTACTCTTAATAGTACAAGGAACTTAAGTTTCCTAAATGGTTTTTAACGGCTTTATTAATTAATACCTTTTCCATTTTACATATCAGATGTTTGGATGAAGGCCATTACAAGGCCCGATTAAAATGTCAAAGATAGGATTCGGAATAGTTTTATTAATAGAACTATATTTTATTCCAAATCTATTTATATCTGAATATTTCGGTAGCGAGATGGCTCAACCGAAAATAGGTTTCTAGGGACTATTAATGTTGCCTAGTTGATCATCCGTTCAGCCAACCAGATGTGCCAGTCTGATGATGCCAAGTCGGTAATTCTTGATAAGTGGAAAGTTATTGGATACGATAATAACAAAGACATCAAGAGTATTTTCTTTTTCTTGTTACTATTTTTTTTCTAAAGATAGGATTTTATGAGTCTCTCGGATTCGCCCCAACGAAACATACCATAGTTTCTAATAGAGCGACAACGAAACACTAAATAATATCCCTTCGGTGAAAACAGTACTGAGAGGGTTATATATAGGTAATGTCTCAGCCTCACAATCCCTCAGAGTATTGCTGTTTTCACGAGGCATACCTAACTTTACTAAAAGACTCATTTCGTTTATTTACTTTGAATATCACGATACTTAGATTTTACCTACGCGTTTAATTACTCTAAGGCGTTAATATCGCCTTGAGAGACCGAAACTTACACATACTGTTCTCCCACGCTGGATGGTGAAGCGTTCGCTCGGTTCTGGGGCGACCCTTGTGTTAACATGTATTTGAATCCTCCATTCGAATTGCTTCCGGAGGTGTTGGCCAAAGTCAAGCAGGACCAGGCTTGAGACACTCTCATAGCCCCATACAGACCTGAGGCTGAATGGTTTCCACTCTTAGAATCTATGGTTACAGACACACCCATCTGCATACCTCCGGAACCGTCTACCTATTTAAAGCATGGCCACACGCAACAGTCAGCACCACGATTCTATACCATGGGAGTACGGCTTGGCCCCCGGCGGCCGTATCGGCTTGATGACACGTGGGCACGACTTCGGCTGCCGATATCCACCACCACGCAGCCCCCAGCACAACCAGTAGGCATTTTAACGCACACCACCACTACTACGTCGTGTACACAGCCCAGGCGGAAACATATGCCCACGAGGGCTGACCGCCTCGCCCTCGCGGGAAGTGTGCTTGCTATGACGCCACCGGTGGAGTGCCTGGAGCACAGTTTACGCAAAGCTGAGGCTACTGCCTCGCAGTTTCTGGGGCAGGGTAATGTCGTTGGGCCCTTGATGGATGGTTCCCAGGTTTTTGTTTTATATTGGATCCATTGGCTGTCGCCCAATAAGGCGTGCCTACGGCTGTGCAGCAAGACACAGTGAGTGCACCGATTAACCCGACTGGGGCGCGACGTACTATCCCTGCTGCCCTCCCGCGTCTGACAGTAGACCATTGGATGATACTGCATGCGTGCCCATCTCGCAAGCTATGGGGTGTGCCCCTGTCAGCATCACAGGTTGTCAGTAGCATACTGTTTGAACATGACTTATACTCCCACTACGGGGTGCATAGGTTGGAACATGTGGTGCGGGATATCCTTGGTTGGGACGGTCTTCGTGAGCAGATCCGCGTGGTCTATTTGGTCTGTGATTTCTGTCAAGGGCATTATAGGCCATGCTCCTAAAGGGCTGTTGCAACAACCTTCGCCCGCCTCGGGTGGGGCTGCTGGTTGGAACCTCGATTTTGTCACATTCAAAGAAGCACCAGAAGGGGAGGCACATGTCCTATGCGCGACAAATATGGGTTCCAACCTTCTGGCCGGCCGAGTCTTTACGGTAAGAGGAGAGCGTTCCAAGTCAACTTCGAATGTCATTCGCTTCGTCCAAGAGCAGATTCTTCCGTGGGGAGTCCCACGAGTCATAAAGGGCGACCCGGACTCTGTCTTTGTAATGAGCCGGGCCTCCACATTAGACTCTATGTATAAACGTACTCTTAAAGCAGTAAGCAAATTATAAACGTACTCTTAATAGTACGAGGAACTTAAGTTTCCTAAATGTACTCTTAATAGT